CAGGGCTGTCTGGGAAGCTGTGTGCTTAATCCTGTGTAGAGATTGAGGGATATGTAAGCGATAACTAAAATAGAAGGTAAGTGGGAGGCACAGAGCCCTGGATCCAGACTAGCCAGCTTTTACAGGGATGTCTTTGGTGCTAAAATGGGTTCTACTGAAATTCTTGATTCTTTCTAAAGAGACTAATGAGGATGTTGGACTAAGCAAAAAAAAGAATTAAAAATAAAAAAGAAGACAAAAGAGAGGGAAAAGGAAGGAGAGACTGCAGAACTTCAGGGTTGCATCGTCATCTATTTCTGTTGGGCTTCAACTTTTAGATAGTAGTCGTAATTTCCATATGAGAAGATGATGGTTGATGAAGCTATTTAGTTTCATAGACAAAATGAAAGTGTCCATGCTAAAATAAATGAATAGGGGTTTTCCTTTTCCATGACTTCTCCATGCATTAAAGAAACATCCTCAGTTCTCAGTAAAGGAAACAAAAGCTGACATTTCTTTAGAGAACTGGAAGGCACTTTAGGAACAAAACAACTTCCTAAAGAGGTGAAATGGAGAGGGAGGTTCTGGTCTCTTCACCCTTGTAACTGATGACAGGATTCATCAGGATGACGAAGCTGTGCCAACAGTGGTTCAGACTGGATATTAGGGAAAATTTCTTTACAGAGAGAGTGGTGAAACTGGAACAGGGTTTCTAGAGAGATGGCTGATGCCTCATGCCTCCCCTCTCCCCTCCTCCCTTGCCCTTTCCCCTCTTCTCCCCTCTTCTGTTCTTCTGATCTACTCTCTCTTGATGTCCAGTACACTCTGAGGAGTTCACTGCTCTCACTCTCTGAAGCTGGCTGAGCAGGTGAAAGTCACAGTGCTGTGGTGGTGGGTTCCTAGCCTAGGCACTGAGTGACTGCTGGAGGATCTCAGTGGGACAGAGAGAAGTGCTACGGTATGGTACAGTCAGGCTATGCATACCCATTTATCTACCAGAAAAAGGGAAATAGGTAAAGGGCTTTGATTTTGTGTCTCCCTATTTGACTGATTCACAACATCTCCAGCAAGAATTTACCCCATCGGTGAGACATTGGGCAACTTTAATTTATAGCAGAGAACCCAGCACCCCATGCCCGGTGACACCAAAGGAAGTTTAAGGCCACCTCTGTCCACTGCCCTTGAACTCAATGAATACATAGAATATAGCCAAGATTTAGGGTCTGTCGCGCTGTGATAAATATCCACTTCTAGGAGACCACAGCCACGAGTCCAATTTAACATTATAAAGTAATTTTCTGTGACAATTCGTACTCCAGCATCATCACTGTCATCTTCCTCTCTATCTGATATTTTTTAGTGTTTGGTATCATGCCTAATATAGAGAGATTGCAGTGAACTGGATGAGACATTTAATAAAGGAGAGGTCTGGAAAATGAGAAGGTTTTTATCTTTGAAAAAGTCTTCCAGTGATTTGTTGGAACATCCTATTTCAAAATGAGTTTGACTTAGGAGGGCCACAGTTGTATGATTTGTCCTCAGTAGAAATTAGAGCCTCTCAGTATTTTTATGAGGCCATATGATTAGTTTTTGAGTTATTCATTATGGACTCCCGAACCTCTCAGGAATCCATGAGCTCTTTATGAGCCATATAAAAGGATGCAGACTCACTAGCAGAGCTGAGAAATTCCCAGGAGAAGAGAGATTCAGAACAAAAGTGAGATGGACAGAAAGATGGAGAAGGTAGACTTCAGAAAGCCTGTAATAAAAGTAGATTCTCTAACAGCCTAACAGCTGTCCAGTCTCCTGCAAATCAGGAGCAGAGCAGGCTATGCTGACGATGTTTTGAAGAAAGCACAGGACTATCCTGCAAAGTTTTATTTCATAGCTGAGTGGAAAGACTTTAAGTCACCAGGAGAGGATGGGAAGGTTAGTTTTCTAGGGCTTTCTCCAAGCAGTTATTCTGAAAGAAACTCACCTGCTGTCTTTGGAGGACCCACTCATGTTACTAACATGCAGCATACTCTCCAAAAGAAAAGTCGTTTGTACAGAATGGCAGGGCATACACATCAAACTTAATAATAATGAAAAAAGAGCAAAAGTGCTCTTTCTGTGAACCAGCTGCAAAACTACAAATTTAAACAAAATGCACAGACAGCAACTGTACATACTGTAAATGCCTGAACCTGTCAGTAGGCACCTTTACCATCCCCAGGCTGGTTAGAAAAACCACTGAAAAGCAAAGATCTTTCTCACAAAAAGACAATTTCATAAATGCCACCTGCTGATGGGGGAACTGGCTACAGCTTTCTGGGACCCACGTGTCTCACTGATCCAGCCTGTTTTCCTACCTGGTAGCAAAATCTGATCGAGCTGCATATTACATTAAATGGGACAGAGCCAAAGCTGGCTAAATAATGGAAGTGTATTTGTGAATGTTTATTCAGTGAAAATATTGCCAAAATTCACAATATTATTGATAATGAATTATTTAATCAGCTCCAGATGAAACTCCAACAGAATCCCCGGCTGTGTTATTCTGCCAACATTATGTGCAAAGCAGCACTCCCTTCACAGCAAGGGCAGAAACCCTCTCTGCTCTCTGGCATCTTAGCAGGGACCTGACTCTGCTGCTCTCAGCTGAGTCAGTGCGGAGGGCTGCTAATAGCTGAGGGACAGACTAAGTCAGGCATGCTGCAGAGCCGGACACGCTGATGGGGATGTTGACAACACAGGCGCATAGTACTGGAGTGCCCAGAAGCCCCACATATGGATACATGAGTGCATGGGGGTACCTGTTTGCCCTCAGTGTAGGTGTGTGCTCTGTAGACATTTTCTTGGACTCATACAGCTGACATGTAGTTTTGGCAGCTGCGTGCTGAAACAGAGGTATGTGTGCTCTGCTGTCCCACCTGCACCAGGAATGCAGAGCTCCTCCATCTGGGACACTGCGAGCTCCAGGGGGATCTAGCTGAGATCCCTTCTCTCTCTGCCTCATTTTTTAAGGCAACCTTTCTGCAAACATAGGTTCATCCCCCTCGAAGCTGACATCCATAATTTCTCTGCTCCAGCCGCTAGCATCACCAGGTGATACCTACAGCAGCACAGGCAGCTGGATGTGCGTGCGGCTGTGTGGACGGGCTGCAGGTGTCTGTACTCCTGTGCCCAGTGCCAGCCTGTGCTGTGTGCGCCTCCTCCCTGTGTAGATCACAGCACTGCTTTCTCCCTTTGGCTGGAGGACTTCTGTCTGGGCTCACGCTCAGATTTGCTCTTCAAGCAAAGGGCAGAGGCAGCGCTAAGTGAGGAAGTGCTGCATATTTCAGGAGGCAGGGTTCGGGACGTTTGTTCCAGACGGAGCCTGCTTGTTGATCTCACACGTCTCTCTTCCACACAACACACATAACTCAGTCAGCCATCTCCTCCGTGCCCTGCTGGTGCACAGGCTGCTTCCAGCCCTGCTCTCGTGTTCCCCCCCCCTCCTACCACTGCCCAGCCTGTTCCTTCCATTAGAGTTTAATGAGGCCCACCGGAGCTGGCGATTGAACCCCTTCAGTCACTGCTGAAGCCAAGGTCAAGCCTAGGGCAGGAATTGTCCACAAATACAGACACCAGAGTGAAGGGAAGGAAAGAACAATAAGAGCCATTTACTTCCAATGCACTTGAGCGCTTGAGAGATGCTGTCCCCCAGATTGCTGAGTCAGCAGCTGCTGACAAATTAGTCAACAGGATGACTGGGCCTCAGCTCCTGGCAATTAGTATTGACAAAGCTTTGTGTGTGCCTGTGTGTTTTCCCATTAGCTGTGGCTTGCACGCCTGCGGAGGGAGGAGGGACTGGGGAAGGAAATGTCTTGCTTTGACTTCACAAACACATGGAATTTGCATTCCCAAGGTCGTGCAGCAGTCATTTGGCTTCCTGTTTCAGCATCTTTGCAGGCTGTGGCTGTTATGAATAGAGTATGCTGAGAGCCTCTTAGGAGGGAGGTGCGTCAACACAGCTGGAGGAAGGGTGAGCCTGAGTGGTGGGAGCGGAGGCACTTTAGATTAGGAAGGGTGTAGTATAACCGAACTGTGGGGCCAGCAAAACCAGGCGGTGACATCAATGGGTAGACAGGATTTTTCTGCTGAGAATGGTATATCTACTACTAATGTTCAGCATTAGAATGAGAAGGGTATCACAGATCCAGAGTGAGTGGATTCGGCAGAGCTCAGTGATGAAACGATGGAAGGAGACAGAGGGGGATCAGAACTGGAATAAAAGGGGATTCTACAGGTCAGGAGTTCAGTGTCTTGTCAAAGCAATTTGGGAAGCTGGAGGCTAAAAGGTGGAGTTGCAGGTCAGGATTAAGCTGAATCTAAAAGCTGAATTCAGTCACTGCTTGGCGGAGGTCACTGCCTCCAATGCTGGCTGCAGGGATCACAGCCCCCACTGAGAACAATGACATTTCCTGGATTCAGCTCCGCTGGAATTACAAACACACTCTGTTGTTAAAGTCCTGCGAATCTCCTTTTGCCTTTCCAACCTTCCATGCCAGGTTACCCATGCTCTCTGACAGCACATGTGTTAAAAGCATGCAGGAGACCCTGGAAGAGAGGTCAAGTGCATCAGCTTTTTTAGCCTCCCTTCATCCATTGCATCTTTCCCTGGAGATCTGACTTTGCCACACCATCTTCCTCATTCTGACGGACTGGTCAGTGTGGTTTAGACAAAGCCCAGCTGTGCCTTGGATCTGAAAGGCCCAGCTCTGACCTAACAGGAGCTGGGCTTCGTTCTGGGTGCAAGGGGACCTGCCAGCCTGCATGTAGGTGCTCACAGAAGCTGAGTTCAGCAGAGAGCAGCAGCAGCAGCCTTCCAGTTCTTGGGGCTCCTGCCTGAGGGTGTGGAGAGAGGCTGTCTTTGTATCCACAGCATGCTGCTGTGCTGCACGCGATTGGAATCCAGGACTGCAAAGCTGCTGCTTAGAGCAACATGTGAATGTCTCTGCTCAAGCTTTTAAGGAAGGAATAGGTTAATGGAGATGGAGGTAGGTCAGAATGTTTTATTTTCCCAGTTTGTTGGGTTTCTTTCTAGGAACTGTAATGCTCACTTTGTAAGTTTTTGTGCCAGAGCCCAGCAGAGCCATAACCATTCACACTCCCGTATGCCTTGCGGAACCTGAGATGATTCGCGCCTTCTTCATTAGCAGACATTCCTCCTCCATTAGCTTCAGAGTGCCTCGTGTTTGCCGACAGTGAGGAGCAAGCAGCGAGATGCTCCCATGAAGCAGCTGACACAGGGCCCTGCTACTCCCCAGGTGGCCTGTCTGCTTCCATCCCTCTGGTTTGCTGCTTGGTCGTAGGCAGATGTACAATGGACTTGTGCTGGCCTCCTAGCTGCCTAAACAGTGCTTTCTGGAAATATCAGCTGGCATTGCACTGCATCATTAGGTGTCTAAGTAGCTTTTGAATCTGGGTTTCTCTTCCTCCATGCTTCAATTCTTCCTCAGTCGGAGGGTCTGGCTGGTGTTTGTATCAGCGTGGGTTCTGCTGAAGGCCTGCACATGTGCCAGTCATTAACATGGCTGCTAAGGAGCTTGTGTGCTCCTATTGAGGAATGGGACAGGGGCCTTCCTTCCATCTCCTCTGGTATGGTGGTGGTGGACACCACTGGGCTATGCCTGCCATTGCTGCTGTGTCCAAGCTTCAAAACTTTGATCTGTGCCTTTTGTCACCCCATAGGAAGTAAATCCAGGACTCACAGCACTGCAGAGGCGAGAAGGAGACAATTAGACCTGAAGTGCTTGGCTTTGGAGTGCTGCAGTACCAAGGAACAGCTGTTTCTGTGGCCTTGTATCTTGCAGAAAAAAAGCAGGGCTGTCTAACCCTTTTACCATGACATTTGTTAGATACAAGTGCCATAAGGAATTGTACACAAAGGCCATCTGAGTTCATTCCTCTCTTTTCACTTACATAACCTTCCTAGTGAATGTCAGAAAGTGGATTATCACTTCATTACAAGTGATAAGAGTTCAGGGCAGCTTCAATGCAAATTCAGGCCCTTAGTTTTTGTCATGCAGCACTTACTTGTGGTCTATCAGTAACAGATCTCAGTAGTCGCTTTTTCTGATGTCAGATATGACAGGAGGAGAAAGGCTGAGTGCTTCCAGCATATGTCACTATTTGCTTTCTTGGAGCTGGTTAATAGGAAGTCTGCTTACATTTTCTCAGCATTATGATTTGTATCTAGCTGGCAGAGCCAATTCCACCTGAGTGAGAGGTATCCAGAAATACTGCTTCTCATTGTTCTGAGCAGGTCCTGCATTCTCATCAGAAACAAAAGAAGAAATGACACACCCAGTTATAACTTTGTTCTTTGAAATACTATACTTCACATATATACACACACACACACACACACATATATATATATAGACCTTGTAACCGTTGCCAGAACCCCCAGCTATACAACCTCCAAACTATAAGGGAGCTGAAAGTTTTGACTGCTCTGCTTTCTCTCCCTGATTCAGAGTGCCAGAATTGCACAGTTCTTGCACAGTGCTCCCAAAAACAGTTGTTTCAAACACATAGACTTGTTTACAGGAGGTACATATGTAACTGCAGAAAGATCTGGAGAGACTGCAGCATTTGAGAGAATGGAAGGGTTGCCTCCTCATGACATCACAAGGAAAAATATACCAAGGAGCAGGTAATGCTCAGGTGTCACAGTGAGGACAGTGGTATCTAGGATACTATGGGAGTTCTGTTTCCTCTGTCTAGTCACGTTTTATTTCAAACAAGGTATGCCTCATGCAGAGAACAAAATAAGGATGGATACAGTGGCAAGGTACAGAAGAATTTTAGTAATGCTGAGTTATGACAGATATTTACTAACAGTAATTCACATTTCTGTCCTGAGGCACGCTCCTAAAGGCAGCTGCTTTCAGGAAACAGCCTGCAAATTACGCTCTCCCTGTCTGGCTGATACCTGCTGTCTCTCCTCTGTTCTTTAAAGTGGATAGTTTTCTGATGGAAGGCACTAAGTTAATTTTGGAGTCTAAAAGGTAAATGCAGGACAGGGCAAGTTTCTTCAGTGTAGGCCTAACGTTATGCCTCCTGCCCTCCTGGAAGTCATGTGTCTGAGGAATGCAATGGCCTCTTTTCTGAGCTGGCAAGCTGTGTCATTTGTAGCGTTGATACTTGTCCCAGTGGGACTCAGGCTGAGATTTTTCCATCCTTCCCTTGCCCAGTTCATTTTGTCTAGAGTGCCAAAAAGCTGTCAAATGGCATTTTTGCAACTATCAATCTAGACTGGGCTGGACCTGGTGACATGGAGGTGAAAGGATCTGGAGTCGGTTTTCCTGTACTGCTAAGCTAGCCAGTCCCTCCTTGTGCTTATTGAGGGGGTCAGCTCTGATAATGTCACTGTGAATATTTTGCTGCCATTTAGCTAATAAGCTACATTTCCTGTTGCAAAATAATGTTAGGAGAAATAAAGGAAAAAGAACTGCCATGGAAGGAAACAAAGACAAATTCTGTGCCCATTTTTAAAGTGTGCTCGTGCCATAGCCTGGCTCCTATTTAACAACAGGTCTGACATAAGGTTTTCTGACTGCATTGAGGAAATATGTCCTTGAAAAGATGTTTTTATGTTTTTACAAACCAAATCTTTGAGAATTATCATTTCACCATTTTTCTCCAGCTGTACTTTGGTTTCCGTTGCCATATGCAGAGCAGATTGAACTCAAAAAAGAACAAAAGGACTATGGTACCTCACTAAGAATCAGTTACTCCGCCTTTAATATCGATGATAAAAATAATTAAGACTTTCTACTTCTCTAGTGTGTTCCATCCGAGGGTCTCAAAGCATTTTAACAAACATTAAGTAATTACACTTTTCATCTCCTCCCTGAGGCTTTTGCTGTGCTGGAGGTGGTTCAGTCCAGTTTGGTCGATGTGGCTGTTGAAATCACAGCTGATTCTCTATCCAGCAGTTAAAAAAAGCCTCCAGAAATCCTCATTTCTTACTACTGCTGTCCTTTCATCCCACTGCCGTGCTTCCCAGTCTTCGTTTGGTGGATGGTTTCTTTTCACATGGTTTATGCAGGCACAGATCTGCAGGTTCCATCTCCTCAATCTGCCCGGTGCTGGGTGGCCTCTGGCACTAGCACAGTGGTCAGCAGCTGAACTGACCCTAGCCCCACAATTACTGAAGCGTTAAAGGTTCTTAAAGCCACTTTCGGTTTCCATAGTCTTCCCCAGCCTGGTTAGAGTGAGGAATCTGGGCTAGAAAGAAATGGAAAGAGAAGGGATAAGGATCTCTAAGTGCAAGTGCTTGAAAAGTAAGTCTTTCTGTAAGCATTTTATTTTGAAATATATCAAGTGTTTGTGAACAAAATACAGAAACTGCTTATCCCATTGCTGAAATTAAGTCATTCTTAGTTTGAATGTGGCAGATGTTCAATGGTACAGGGCAGCACCTGTGCCGTCTTTTAACAAAGGGAGGAATGAGATCTGGCTGAAACGAGAGGAAATTGAAGAAATCAGAAATGAGCTGCCCAAACTGGGATGTGGTCATTGGAATCCATTTTTCTTTTTAAAGGAAATATATCAAAGAGTCTTTAATCATAATTAATATGCTGTTTTATTTGGCTTCAAAAACAGTCACAATAAAAATAGTATAAGTAATAAATAAACAACTATGCTAAGTATGCAGCAAGCCTTGGGGCTCTTGCTGGCAAGAGAAACTGTTGAAATACTTTTGAATTGATATTTATGTAACATCTTTTGTCTTGGGGATCCCAAACTATATCGCCAACTGCAGCTTTGAAAAGCTTGTGAACAAGGCAAGCCATATGTTGTTTTGTTAACAATATCATTTTCAAACTCATCTGCAGCATTTCTAATTAGAAGAATGTAGTGTAAAGGATTTGATTTCATTAATTAGTGTTCAATACTGTGCATTCCTCATGTGGAAACCAAAGTGACCGGCATATTATAAGTATGCTGGCATACTTAGAATAGAATGAATTACTAATTTAATAATGTGCACTGCTAACTGCAGATCATATGTTTCGTCCAGAGCAGTCAAGGCACTTTACAAAGGCTGGAGGTAATAAAGAATGATCCTTCCAGTTAATTAGAAATGTATATTCTGTTCCTGAGATAGCAATTATCATTCAGTAAATCCTATGGCTTCCTTGTGTTTAAGGCATCTTACTGTCTGTGTATTACAGATAAAGTAATAGAAGAGATAAATTCAGATGTACACAGTCTGTGGCAATTTAGGGACAAAATCAGGTCTCTTGAGCCTTTATTTCAGTGCTGAAAACACTGTTCCTCTCTGTTTTGCTGGGCAAAGGATGCAGAACTGAAGAAAGGCTTATAGAGGATGACCTTCAGGGTCACCCTCTCCTGTCCCCTGCCATCAGAGGCACCCTGTCTTGTCGTGGCTTTTGTGACTGTGACAAAGAAAGAATGAGTCACACTTCTCTGCTGGACACCAGACTGCTCATTGATACAGTTCAGGTTGCTTTTTTGAAAAAAGGGTGGTATCTTAATGGCATTTGCAGTGGAAAAAGGCTGGTCTGGTTTGTTCTCTGGGAATAGAGCAGAATGGCAACCTTCCAGGTTCAGGTGCTGGAAGTTTAAAATCATATTGCTACTGAGTAGTTTTGCTCACAGACTTGGCTTCAGCTCTGCAATTCCCTGGCTGTGTTGAACAGTACTTTCTGAAGGCTAGAATATCCCTTTATATACAAGAAAAAAAAAATCAGGAAGCATCTTGTAAGAGCATCTGCAGATCACATTTTAAACTGATGCCTGAATTTAGTTTGCGTGATGACAGGATGGGAAGGTAGGATTGGAAGATCATCCAGTCAATCCTTCGTTCCCAGAGAGGAGAGCACTCCTGGCAGATGTTAGCTGAAAGGTTCCTGAGGCTTTTTGCTGAGAAATTCTATCCATCAGAATAGCTAATCATCCTCCTAGCTATGATTTTGGCCCACCATGTCCTGTTGCTGTACTTCTTATGAGCTAGCCCTGCCAAAAGAGATTGCTTATGTGTCTCCCGGTCCCTGCATGGATTTGGTCCAGGGTGCTACACTTGTATAGCACAGCAGCAGATGGGCACAGGCATCAGCAAGGCTGTTAGGTCAGGCAATGCCCTCACTTGGAGCACTGGGCAGGCTCATCAGTTCGTATAAACTCCCCACATGGGCTGCTTTCCTCTGTGGCTGCGCAGTGCTCAACAGACAGGCAGGCAGCACACTGAGAGTAACCAATTCTGCAGACACTTTTAGTCCTTAGTATTTTATTGTCAAGGGGATGAGAATGCACAGAAATTGTGAGGATCTCACCCCCTTCTCACTGCCCACTGCAGAGCTGCTATCCTCTGATCTATTTTCTCTTCGCAGTATAAATAGTTACAGAAATAAAGCTTCCCGAAGCTTGAAATGAATCACAGCATGTAGCAGCAGCCATGATCGTGCTTCTCATCCCTGTTGCTTCCATCCTCCCCACTTGGTTACTGTCCCTTGGTTCCTGTCTGTAAGCTTTTGGAGCGTGAGAGATGCTGAAGCTGGATAGCAGGGACAGGCAGGAAGAGGGTGCAGAAGGTAGCAGCAGGGATGGGGAAGCAGCTGAATGACAGCAAGAGAACCATAGGAACGCTGGTGAAGCTGGGAGAAGCACATGCAATCACAGAAGGGCTCTCCTCTGGAACCTGGATCAGAATCATTATTTCTGCATGCAGACATTTCTCAGCTGTCAGATTACAGCTGTGAAACCCACTGGAAAGCTGTACATCACTGTTTGTCTTTAGTAGTACATGCATCTGGAAAAACATCAAGTCTTCAGATGGCATTTAATCCTCTGTCTGTAGTCTGCCTGTGGCTGTAGGAAGGGTGGAGGGGGAAGATAGGTGCTGAAATCTGAGCTGGCCCAACACAGGCTGAAAGAAAGGCTGGTGCTGTCCTCATTCACCCAGCAGTGCACGCCAGAGCAGCTGCTGCCTGGGGCGAGAAATGGGAGTGAAAGTCTGTAGTGCTGCACATGCATTTCTCACATCTTTATTTTGGAGTGCTGGCCTCTTCAATCCTTACACTTAAATGTAGGTTTTTAAAATGCTATTTATAATGGGTGTTGGAATTAGTAATACTGCTGTCATTTTCCCAGCCATGTTAGAAACACCTACCTCTGCTCTGTGTTGTTTAATACGAGCTGGTGAAATCACTACTCCCAAGTCAGGGATGAGGACAATCAAAGCGTGCCGAGCCTTTCTCGCTTAGTTACTTAGATCTTATCCAACATCAGACACGACATCGTGGTGCTTTGCGATCGCCATATCCGTGTGTTGCTCCCTGCCCCTGCTCCTCTGTTCACAGCTGTGCTGCTGAGAGCTGCGTCTGCCTGCTGGGGCTAGGGAGAATCTCCTCTCTCAAGACACTTGACTGAAGGAGGCCATAGGGGATAATCTGGCACTAACCTATCCCTCTCCCAACCCCCTGCACGGGCAGCCATGGGAACTAATAGGCCTTTTCCTGCCTGACGTCTCCGATTCACAAAATTTTCTGTGGCGGATGTGGTGCCAGGAGGGGTTATTTTGGGGCAGATTCCTTTTCATTTGTTTTGTTTGCCTCTTTCTATAGCAGTGTGGCAATCCTGGCCCTGGCAGCGGCGGAGCTGAGGGGCGGGAGTGGAGCTGCTGAGGCCAGAGGCCCCGCAGCCTGATGTCCTCTGGCCGCCCGCACCAGCTGGGGCTGTGGCCGGGGGGAGCAGGGCCTCTGGCTCATTCAGAGTTCACCCACGGTTATTTTTAGCTCCTTAATGCTCTTCCCAAGCCCCCTG